AGAGAGAGAGAGAGAGAGAGAGAGAGAGAGAAAAGAGACAAAAGTAAAATAAAAAAAGGGAAGAAATGAATAAAAAAAAGGGGAAGGAAAGAAAAAGAAAGTCAAGAAAGAGAAGAATAAGAAAAGAAAGAGAAGAAAAGAAAGAAAGAAAGACAGACAGCAGCACAGAGATTCTACTGTGTCTTCATTATGAAATCCATCCTGTTATCAGTAGAAGGGAACTCTAACATCTGCCCTTGGTTAGGTGGTTGGGAATGCAGACTGGACAATGTCAGCCTGGAGAGTCCTCATTCCTGTCTGCACATCGGTACAGATGAGTGTGAAGCTAGAATGTTGTGATCAAGCTACCACATAAGTTAAAATTGAGACTTTTCCCCCCTTCTATATGCCAGGAAAGGGGCTGATTGTAATGTACGATGGATGTCTGTAGACACTAGATGGCACCAGACAAAAGATTTTCACTGGCCAACGAAACACACAAACTTGTATCCTGCACTGTGACATTATGTACAATGCTGCTGTTACCGCTGAACTGAGATGGGAACATTATCCTATTGACTGCACATATCCAACCTAGCCGATGGCCTTTTTACTGAAGGGGAGGATGGTTTTAGGATGCTTGATGCCACATGGACAGTGCAATTATTGCACAACCTAGCATAAAAGGGAAATGTCCCCTTTTAGGGGAAAAAAATAAATATAAATAAAATTCACACATGTTCATAAAAGAAAAAAAAAAGTGCATTTATAATTTTTTTGCATTGAAGTCAGTAAAGCATTGCCACTGTGATCAGGGGAGACATGCTCTGGCTCCTGCACACACCTCCTCCCTGCTCCCGTCAAGAACTACAAGTCCCGCTGCGGCAGTGGCTGTTGGATGACGTAGCTGTGTGGGCAGAGCCATGCCAAAATAAAAAATGAACACAATCCTTCAGGGAGAAGAACCCCATGATTCAGGTAAGAGGGGAATCTGATCTTGTCATGTTTAAAGTTACACCCTGAATATGGGTAGAACATGAAACATGGCCAGAAAAGAAACAAATCTGAGCAGATATGTCATCCATCAGCTACCTGTGCCCCTGTCGGGGGGGCCGCCTCTTAATTTATTTCCACAGTTAACACTGGTCACCAGCACAGGAAATGAAGAAAGATCTCTCCAACAGGGACATAGACGGCAATTAAAAAAAAACATGTACTTACATTTAAAAAAATTCATCCTTGCAGTGCAGTGGTAGTTTTTTGTTTGCCTGGAGATGGGCTTTAAAGTGTAGGAAAAGCTCAAACTTCTTTTTTTTATTTTGGACAGAGTAGGGAATGTTTAAAGTAGCATTAAACATTCTTCCAAACAGCTCTCTCAACTCTACTTCCCTGAATTTCCTGCCAAGTATAGGATCACATAGGGCAGTGCAGTCTCCAGCAGCTGTTCATCTACTTGCTTGGAGAAGGAAGGAAAAAAGGGGTATGGAAGAGGGAGTGGGGACGTGTCTTGCCCTGCTCTGCCTGTGTGCATTACGAGATACAACCTCCTGGCACCCACAAGGGTGTCTCCATAGGAACGGATCCACCCTAAAGCAGGATATCAGGGCCATTGCTCAGGGGACCAGCGGATTATGCAGGAAACTAACTTTTAAATATCAAGGAGCAGCATCCACTGTACTGCAAGTGATTTGATCAGCATGTAAAATGGTCTAAAAACCTTTTGGCTTTAAGACTTTGCGGTCATCAGGGCCGGCGCTACCATATAGGCAGGTCAAGCATCTGCCTGGGGGCACCGTTGACCCCCTGCCAGGAAGTTCTCGTCTGCAATCCCCCTTCCCCACCCAAGCTACATTTCTCTTCTTCCTCGCAGGAGACAGTGAGGGGAGAGCTGTCAATTAAAAAAATGAGGTGCACCAAAAAAGAAGTTTCAAAACCGAAATGAAAAATAAAATGTCAGGCGGAAACCGAAACCAAAAATGTTTTTTTTCTAACTTTCAAAAATAAATAAATTTTGAAGCAGCGTCTGAGAACGCGCAAAAATGCACCTTCGCCTGTGTAGGAAAAAATCCTTGCACCGGCCCTGGCGGTCATTATTGGAGAGATTCACCCCTCACTTCCTGTACCAGAGAAACAACAGGAAGTAAAAGGAAATCTCTCCAAAAGCAAGGGGAATTCGGCTCTCAGGGCTTGTCCAAACCATGTTTGGATCATGTCCAGACCGGAACAGTTTGCTCCCGAACCAAAAAAGCATCCCAATGTATACCTATGGCATTTCCGGGCTCTGTTCACACCAGTGCAGTCCATTCCAGACCAGTCAAAACCAATACTGCTGGTCTCATTTTCTCTGGACTGGAATGCACTGCAATGCACTGGAACCCACCTAAAAGCCCATTTTAAGCTAAAAAAAATGAGGCAAAAGGTCTGGTCCAGAAAATGGTGCAAACCTGGCCTTAGATAGACGTCACAGAAATATTGGAAGACTTTCCCTCATCTTCTGTTTCTGTGAAAATTCCAAAATGTTGATTTTGGCACATCACTTTTTACAATGGAGAATAGTCACCAGGACAAAAGGTTGGGGAGCATATACCGTTTTCCCCTGAAAATAAGACACTGTCTTATATTTGTTTTGCCCTCCCAAAAAAACACACTAGGCACTATTTTCAAGGAATGTCTTATTTTTTTTTGGCATGGTAAGAATGAGAATAATACTGTTGCTCTTCCTTTCTTTTCCTACTGGTCAGTATCGGTAATGCTGATCCCTTTCTTTCACAGGCGGAGTGCATCTGGTATCACTCCGCCTGTCACAGTAACCGGCGCTATAGAAGAAGGATCGGCTAATACGGCTCTGCTCCCTCTGCCGCCGCAGCCTTGCTTTCTACAGCGCCGGCTTCCTTTGCCATCAGGGACAGTGGTACCAGCGATGCAGCAGTGGGGACATCAGACAGTGGACAGCACGGTAAAGTACGGTACCATTTAGCGGTACGCATTACAGTACAGTACCATTACATTAGGCAGTGCCTTCAGGGGGACAGCAGTTGGTGGTAGTGGATGGTACCGGAGTGCTCCCTGTCATCCCCTTAATACAGTATGTCCCTGCAGGCTGATACCATCTCTCCTGCTCTTCAAGTTCCCCCTCACATGCTACCACCAAACTAGGTCTTATTTTCGGGGTAGGTCTTATATTACAGGAATCTTGGAAAAATAGTGCTAGGTCTTAGTTACGGTACCCAGCGAGGACAGACAGCATAGAAAACCTGATTGGGGTTTAACATTTCCTCACTCTGTCCAAAGATAAAGAAAACTTGGCTTTAAGTATGTACATAGACTGGCTTGGCTTAACAGAAGATGACAAACATATAACTTTACACAAAAGGTACATGTATATTTCACACTTGACCTGTTTAGCCCCCACCTTGGAATGATTCGGTACATACAATAATGAAGAATGTGTGTGAGTAGACTGAAGGATGCAGAGATACAGGATTAAGTGGGTAGCAAAAAGCAGACAGACTGAAGCGATAGCATTACCTTTTCATAGAGGTTTTCAGAGGCCGGGCTGGCCGATATTGTTATCAGCACTTTCATGCAATGCAGGCTGATGTCTGCACAGTCCTGCTGGCATATGCTAATCAAGGATTGTAGGCAGCACAGCAACTGCTCCAGGTACAGCACCTGTCAAAGTAAAGACACATTAGACAGAAATAGGTCCATTGTTAGGAAGCACAGATGAGAAATATAGATATTCTGACCTATTAGCTTGCTGATTAAAGCATAAAATGATACTTCTCAGTCATCACATACCAAGCATACCTCTCAAATGGCCACAGATGGACACTTAAGATTAGCCTGCACAGACACATTTAGCAGAGTTTAAAACAATTTAGAACCCCAGTATAAGAAATACACATCTAAGAAGCAGCATTATAAAAATAGCAAGTTTGCATTATAATGTTACAAAAGAACCTAACAGAACCCTGTGGAGTCAATTTCTACTGGAAAAGGGATTGCTTTAATAAAGCGCTGCGTTATCAAAAAATGCATAAAATTTGGCTGGCTTCATATAAAAAAAAATTCCAGCTTCAGCCAGGGCCAAGGATCTAAGGCTCTCCACAGGGATTGTTATAAAGTTTAGAACTGCTGCTGCCTTAGAGATTTTTAGGTCAGGCTTGATTTATTTTCTTGGTCAATTTTTATTTAACAACAGCTTTTAGACTTTACAAGGAAGGAAACTGCAAAAGAAGGTTACATTTTCCCAATAATGACTGACAGTGACTTTACAATATAGGAGGGGAAGGTAAACTTCGGCCCTAGGGCCCATTGCTGCCTAGGGCGCAGCCTTAACCACTCCCCCCACCCCCATAGGCTCTCAAAATACCTGAGCAATCGGATTGGATGCAGGCATTGTTCAGGTATTTTGACAGCCAGCGGGGGCGACTAGCAAGATTCTGAAGCTTGACCCAATGGGAGATTCCTCCATCCACACAGTGTAGCGTAGATGGAGGAATCTGTTGCACTTTTCCCATCTGACAATAGAAAATCTGCAGATAATCTATAGGTGTATGGCCGGCTTAAGACTCTGGCAGCCACAGGTATGACTTCCAGGAGCAGAGGCATGATGAGATTTGCATTTTCACCACAGCTGGAGTTTGCCTACTCCCGCTTACAGTATGGTTGAGTACGAGGCAACTCAACAAGACAAGTTTGCAAAGTAATTCAGTATAGATGTAGAATGACAAGAGAAAGGTGGAAGGTTGGGATGTTATTGGGAATGACAGGGTCAAAAAGGATAGGTTAGGGTTTGGAAGGAGTAGGTGGGCATCCTGGGGTCACAAGAGAGAATGGGGTTCCATTAGCGTGTGACACCCGTAAAATGTATTGATCTTTTAGACGTCTGTCTAAATTGCTGGACATAAAATGGGCGATCCATGGTGCCCAAGTTTTCTTGAGTTTGGGCATGGTGCCTAGAAGTTTTGTTGCGAGTTTTTCATTTGAGAATGTCCAGTTTTGACTCCAGCTAATGTAAGTGTATTGGAAAGCCATTCTTATGCAATAGTTTGTTTTGATGCCGTCAAAGCATGGGTTCCCAAAGTGAACTGATGTTTCCTGAAAACTTGCAGTTTCAGTAAAGCATTTGCATCACTTTTCTGGTGGTATGCTCACTTTAAAAAGCCCTGCTAGTAATTCAGGAAAGCCTTGTGACAGTGTAAAATAAAGCGCAGCCGCATGTTTGCACTGAGAAGCTGTCATTAATGTCATAGCTTCTATTGGTAGCTAGGATGCCAGCGGCCACTCCAAGCAACCAATGATGCATCCCCTGCCTCATTCCAATGTATGTAAATAAGGGGTCCAGGAATGCTGGCTGACGTCATTACTGAAATATATCAATGGCCATATCTGGCCAATAATGTCAGCAAGCATCTTTGCCCCTTTGTTTACATTCAGCTGTTAGACAGGGAATGTTTCAGTCAGCTGAATGGGGACAGGGATGCATCATTGGTTCCTAGGATGGTTTTGTTTGCATAGTTGACAATATCCGAGCAATCAGTGATGTGGGGCGGGATTGACTGTGGTGAAGCCACAGTAATCCCCCATCAGGTCCGCCTTTCTTGTGAGTGACAGTGGGCAGCAGTTGGCAGATTCTATAGCTGTTAGCCAGCACACAAGCATCTATGGAATCCACCCACTGCCATCCGCTGTCAACCACAAGTAAGGCAAACCTGATGGGTGACTAGGCTCTCAGAATCCCCATCAGGCTCTGCCCAACCAACAGCAAAATTCCTCAGCCATTGCGCCTGACCGTGAGATAGGTGAAATGGCTGGCCAGGGAGCTCAGCAACACTGAGCCTATGATTTCATTGGGCTCAGTATTACTGAGCTGCACTAAGGAAGGTGTCCCCGGTATGGATACTCTGGCCCCAGTGTTGACCTACATGTGACAAATTCACGTACCTGTACAGGTACATTACTCTGTCACCAGAACCACAACCTAACCACTGAACCATCACATTCTCAAACAATTCATCCCCACGCAGCTACCTCCTCATGTATCACTTGCCCCTCCCCTTTAGATTGTAAGCCCTCGGGGGCAGGGCCCTCCTTACCATCTTGTCTTGAATTGTATGGTAACTGTAATGTCTTCCTTATATTGTAAAGCGCTGCGCAAACTGTTGGCACTTTATATATATCCTGTATAATAATAATTAGTCGTTTGGAGGAGCGACAGAATTATAAAGAGTTTTTACGAAACGCTTTATAACTTCCACTAAGTCCCTGTTCACACCTGGGCCTTTTGACGCTCAAAGCCAAGTTCGACAAAACTTTTAACACTAGAAAACCTATTGATTTTTATGGCCCCTGTTTACACCTGAGGGTGTAACGCTGGAAAAAGTACATGAGCTTCTTTGCAGCAGATTACAGCAAGTTTGGCCACAGAGACTTCAATAAAAAGCACATTAAAATGCTCAACAAGCGTTTTGCACATTCCTGTGCGTGTTTGCACGCACGTCTTTATTCACAGCAATGCATTTTGATATGTTCAATAAACCGCGCGTCTTTGTCTAGGTGTGTCTAATGCTCGTAAAAATGTGCAAAACACGCACATACGTGCAAACCATGCAAGGGAAAGACATGCGTAACAACGTGCATTTTACACGCGGAAACGCTGACGTCTAGGTGTGAATGAAGACTAAGGGAGTTTAAAACAGAAAGAAAGCAAGTTGCCCTTCCTTCCTTCCTGCAGCTGTATGTACGGTTACCCCCTCTGCAGTATATAGCAGTTTTGAAAGCATGTAGAAAGCTCCTGTTCCGCTGGCGCTCACCACCTCCTGGGTGCAAATGGGAAATAAAAATATTATACATTAGTTGAATTGATAGATCTGAACATAATAAAAAAATCGAATCCCCTATACAATCCACTTAAGAGGTAAACGTGGTAATAGGGATGTTTGGCTTTCAAAGAGAGAATTTTTCAGAGAGATGGCGGAGAAGAAAAAGGTTCGGCACACACAGGAGTAAAAAGGGGTTTCATATATCACCCAACTAAGGTGCCAACTATAAGCATACAAGTTGGCAGCATGCAAACATTCAATAACCCAATGCTGATGCTCATTGAAGCAATCTATGCTCACACCACTTGGCATTTCTAGATGGTTATCAGACTTGAGACGCCATGTAGATTAGCCGGTAGCTGTGAAGTCCGAGTTAGATCTCTCTTACCTATGTTCTCCAATGACATAACTTTATGATGGAGTTGCTAATGCTCACGTTACAGTAACGCAGCTGCTGATTCCCTGTGGCTCGTGTGATCTTAGTAATACTGCTAGGCAGTGCATAACGAATGCATTAAGAAGGTCTGCAACCATTTCATTTTCCAGCGCCTTGCTGGACCGAGGGGGGTCTCAGAGACTTGAGATGAGCCAATCGCTCATAAAAAGAAACAAATAAGGAATGAAGAAACTTAATAGCTGAAACCATAAGAAAACAGAATTTATAGTTGTGCGAGACTGCTTTGTTTCTTAAAGCAGCATACACATGCTCCAATATGTGCTGGGATGAAACCACAACGTTTGACCTAAATCATAGATTGCTTTAAGATCTTACAGTCAATGTAAACACACGTACAAAGATGATATATATTGCAGCTTACCAGTCCTTAGATGTGGTAACACCATTGGGTTTCCTTTTTTGGACCAAGTAAATTTTCTGCAGGTATAGAAAATACCTTTTGGCCCTGCCAGAAATCCAGTACAGTTCCCTTCCAATGTTGTGCTATCAGCCTTCAGTTAACTTCTGTAAACTACAAGACACCTGCTCCCTTTGTAATGCAGAGGAGAGGAGGAGGCGGTGTTTGTAGATCATGTAGCTTAGGGTTACGCATGCCCTCTATAGATACAGTGCATTGAGTGAGCGTTGTCACCCTATGACAGGAAGTGTGTTGATGGCAGGATCACCAGGTGAGAATAAAGAGGAAAAAAATCCTTAAGGGAGAACTATGAGGCGAGTGCTTTTCACGCACCTCATAGTTCTAGACGACCTGTGACAATGAGACTGTCACAGGTCGGCTCAGTAGATCGGGAGGTGAGCGGACACATACCGGCATTCGCTCACCTCTCGATCCTGTCACAGCTCTCTGCCGTGACAGGGGAGGGGCTGGATTCCCCCGCTTCGATCCGCCAGCGCTGACTGGCGGAACGCACGGGCAGAGATAGGCAGATAGGGCAGAGATAGGCAAAACCAGCTGTCACTCCCACAGTTGGGCGGTTCCAGACACAAACGCTAGTTTGTGTCCTCCTGTTACCCTAAGGAGAACTATGGGGAAAAGCCTTAACCCCATAGTTCTCCTTTAATAAAAACAAAACAAATGCAGTTACCACATCTAAGGACTGGTTCTTGGGCCTAAACAGGTTACAACCTTACTTTGAAATGTACTTCCTTATACTATTGTGTATATATACATTTTCTCTAGTTCTGTAGTTTCCTCCCTATTCTTCTCACAGTGGCCATTATTCATAAGGAGAGATCAATCCAGCTCCCTTTACTTCCTGGAACTCTGCCTTAACCTCCTCGGCGGTATTCCGGAGTGTGGCTCGGGGTTAATTTTCTGTGCCATAAGCGGTAACCCTGAGCCACACACGGTAATAGACAGCGCGTCTCTTATCTTGTCCCTCGAGCGCCTTCGTCCGTCTTCCGGGTTCCGTCCCTTGCGAGCGTCCGTGTTGCAGGGGGGCGGAACCGGCGGGAGATTCAAAAGTTAAAAAAAAAAAACGAAAACAAATAGAATGAAAAAAGGAAGAAAAAAATCATACCGCCAGGGAGGTTAAAGAGGGACTTTCCCCTTCTCTTTAAAATAACAAAACACACCTTTAGAAATGCTTTTTCTGAGATCTCCCGAGATTACAGATGAGATTTCCCGGCAATGCTCTGCTGATGTAACCTTCCCAGGATGCAATGCTTGGGTACATTACATCATTTGTGCCCAAGTGGACCAGGAATATTAAAAAAACAAATTGTAAGTAAAATTAAAATATGTTTATTTAACTAATAAATGTGAGATGATTTCAGATCAGCATGCAGAGCCGTGTGCTGATTTAATTTTTAGTCAGAGAGGGTAAAGGTCCACTTTAACCACTCTGACCCTGGGGGAACAAGAGATGCCAACTTGGGGACACAATTATAAGGTGATAAGGAAGCAGTGAGCCTCACACCATTTTGAATGCAGGTATGATAATGGAATGGTTTTAAGGTGTGTTAAATTACAACAGGAATAATTAAAATGATATTAAAAATGACAACTTCACCTTGTTTTTCACATTCAGCCACACGCCTCATCCCCCTATCCATCCTAGACATTGTTGAAGGGGGAATATCCCCGCTGTGCTATAGAATCCTGACAGCCGCGGGCGCACTGCTGTCAGAATACATGAACAGTGCCTGCAGCTGGCTGCAGTCATTGTTTGACTGATACATTTTGGACTGGTTCCTTCAACAAAGTTCGACAAAGTTTGCAGAATGGGATGGTCCTGAGGTGGCTACACACACTGCTCGAATTTCAGCCAAGTCAGCAGAACTTGGCTAAGACTCGAGCAGTGCATGGAAAGCTTAAATATTAGAACTGGTGGGTTGCACTTAGGGGGGTGGAGGAGATTGGAATAAAGGACAATTGTACCAAAAGCACAGACGTCCTTTAAGTATTTCTATAATTGTATACATAAATCACTGTCCCTAGAGAGGAGATGACAGGTCAGTGTGGGGGAGGGGAGGGGATTAAACGACTTATAATTTTAGGCTTACTACCTAAATTCTGCATTAAGCCTAATCATGACCGGTTCTCTTTAACTGTGAAAGAATGCATTGAAGAAAGTGGCTTTGAAGTCTTCAGATCACATTTCACTCTCAGCTGACAGGTGCATCATTCAGAGGCATACACCTGGGAATAATCCAATTGATGAAGTCCTTATCCAGGTATTACAAGAAGATCACAGCACTCAGGAGTACTGACACGTTATCATTTTAAATAGGTCATTTTGATTTCTTGATGTGACTGGGTTAGTTCATGAAACTGTGCTGTCAGGTGGATTAGGCTCTGAGTATGGACAGTCAATCATCAGCATGATATTGAGGGAAATATTCCAAATTACACTAGGAGAACAATGGGCTCAATTACAGTGTGGTGTGTTTGTTTCATTCACTTCATGGGACCGTATACACAAAATACATAGTTAAGTATCTCCTTATACATCAACATGATGGAAATTGCTGCAATTATTACTGCCTGGCAAGTAATAGAAAACATTGCCAACAAGGGGGAATGCACTGCAAGAAACCTTCAAGTCCCTTCCCACACAGATCATATTTATTAAGGAAACTCAGATTACTATTGCTAAGGAAAATAAGCAAATTGCCTGATTTAAAGGGACAGTCTAACCAAAGCTAATATTTCAGTTTTTAGCAGATGCTGAAGGGTTAAATCACCCAAGAATTTCTTATAACTCTCAGAGTATGAGATAATTGTGCTTGAGTTCCTGAGTCTGTAAACCTGATGTGGCCATTGTGGGGGGATCCCACTCTCCCTATTATTTTACAGTAGTGAATTTTAGGGATGCAGATACCGATACTAAGCTTAAAAACTAAAAAAAAAAAAAAGTTGCAACCGATGGCCGAATGTCTACTGTCGGATTGGGACTTAGCTCCCATCCTAGGGTGCTCAAGTAAAGGGTACACAAAACAAATGTGATTCACCTCTAAACACTACCAATGGAGCATGCAACAGGGAACTGTAGCAATAGCAAATGCCTCTGAATGCCTGCTTGGTATAGCTCCCCAGAAGATGAGAAACAGGCCGATCATTACAAGTAATGCTCAAAATTTAGAGTTCTTTATGGGCATTCTATTGGAAAGGTTTCCCTTTTCCCCACAGGAACCACATTTCCAAGCAGTATCTACAGATAAAATATGGTTATGCTCTGGATATTTAGGGACCTTGAAACCTACAATGCAAATAGTTATCTCAGATCTTTGTGTTTGTACACACGTTAAACACTAAAATGGCCAAAACCAAAAAGGTGCCACAGTAGATTGCTTGCTCCTACTTCTGCCTCCAGCTATAGCAAGGGCCAGATTTCCCACAAGGTCAACCAAGGACTGGCGGGCAGGTAGTTGTTCTCTACATTTAACCCTGCATTGGGTAAGCAGGGCTAAATATATAGCGGGGAAGCTGCTCGTTCGTTTACAAATGATCTCGGTGAGGGGGGGGGGGGGATTCCCGTGTTGAAACCCTG